CCGACGGTATACGAACCCGGTATTCGTAGTGTTGTAAGTCCGCAGACATACCGCTGTGCCACTGGGGCCTGGTACATGTAATAAATAAGTTAAATATGGTATAGAAGAGAGATGTAATATTTGCTTAAACCACCATGGTTAGTTCGAGAGTTGAGAACCTACCGAATGAAAATCAATATCTGATCTCAGAGTGTTGGTAGTACAGATATTAAATAAACTAAAGCTTTGGAAATGTGCAGGCAATGATCAGTGCGTCTAACTGCTTTTTAAGTACCACATATTTTATTTTAGTATTCTGGAAGCTATGTTTTTATCTCGTATGGTTAAAAAATTATGAGCTCACAATTGTATATCAAATGTAAAAATTAAGAAGAAATCGGAGAAAAGCACCTGTAGTTCAGGTGATTTTAGGCCTAATGCTGTTAATTGTTTAGTTTCTGAAATATTGTATAATATAATTTAATAAGTTAATATTACATAATGTAGCACACAGGTTAATTATGTAATACAATATTTTCAGGAATAAAATTTAAATTACTTATTATTTTTCTACTGCTTTTTGATTCTTCTTCCGAATACTATTCAATCGATCGCCATTCCTTCATTTATCAGCGGATTGACATAAAACTTGATACGGTTATACCTTGAACCAAAACGCCCAGGCACCTTTATCATTTTTTGTGAAGGTTTTTGTTAAGAATCTTATGAGGTCAAAGGTCAAACAACCCAAAAATGTATATTTTGAGCTCCTGTGCGGTCATATTTACAGCAATCAAGATGACAATTGGCACAAATATAAGTTTTCAAGCATCCAACACAGCGGTAATTCTGAGGGCTTACACTGCTAAAAACCGGGTTTCGATACTCGTGGTAGACACCGCACGGATAGCTCATTGTGTAGCTTTGTGCTTAACAAGAAACAAAGAAACTCAAAGTTTAAATATTATGAGCTCGCATCTGAATATTAATTAATTTCTTGTCAGTTTGATTTTTTTTTCATTTTTCGTCTTCTGCATTCATCTGTATTTTATTGTTTATAATCCCATTCAACCCTGTATGGTATACAGAGGTGTGATGATACGACACGAAGAAGATCAATGCACAGATCGACAAAGCATCGCCAACATTTTTGAAAACCAGGCTCTTGTAGTCGATAAACGTGGAGCGATACCACTTAAACTCCCCTGAAGTACTACAAAAAAACTAGGTTCCTTGTTGAAGATTTTGATCATTACAAACCTTATCCGTTCTTTTCTATACGGGTGTAATTATGTTTATTACGAAATACTGTTTTATGCGGGTGTACGTTCTGTAAAATTTTAAGTGGTTCTTTTTGTTGAAATTGAGGCATATAAAATATAAGCGTTTTTTTCATTTATTTTTGGTTTGAATTTTAGTATTCAGTGAATTCAGGTGTTGAAAGAAATTAATTACATAATAATTACAGGTGCTTTGTGCCAACTCTAAAGTTTGTAATTCGACATTCAGAGGCCACTGATTACTGAAGATGAAAAAAAATCTTTGTTTAAGCGCTGAGCTCCTTCCTTACAGTTAGAAATCTTGAGTATGAAATACATAATGCAAAGACAATGCAAACATGTCCAGAAGGGGAAACTTTAAGGCTACCCTAGGGAAAGTTGAATTTTACATGACAGTATTGTTTGTTTGTTTGTTTG